AACAGTGGTCCAACCCGTAAAACGCCACAACGTAGAAGCACATGTCATCCAAGATAGTGCAGAGCATCGGAGTTGAGCTTATCAGAAATGGGGACCAAGGGTCCAGGAGAAACAACCACCAGACCATAATTCCACCTCCGCCGAACTTGACTGTTGGCACAATTCATTCTGGCTGGAACGTTCTCCAGTAGACGCCCAGACCCAGACCCTGCCATCCGAACGGTAACGGGTTAACCTTGATTCGTCACTCCAAAAACCCTTTTCCACTGATCTACGGTCCAATTTCGATGTGCTTTGCACCACATTACCAAGCAGCGCGGTTGGACTTTGTGATCAAGCTTATGGGCAGCAGCACTCCATGAAAACCAGCAGATCTGTTTTCTTAGGGATGGTATTCATTGAAACAATACTCCCGGATGCCTGTGAAACTCCTCGCTGAGGCTATCGGTTGTGGGTTCTTCCGAATTTCTCTGGACAGCACGCGTCGTCTCTATCCCCATTTCGTTGGTCTGCCACTCGAAGCACATTCCACAATCACCTCTCACCTTCCACCTTAATCACTAGGCCCTGGTCGTTTGGGTACTTCAATCGCTGGATATTCCCTTAAGAATCGCCCATTTGTGATACGATAATTACTTTCTCGAAATCAGAAGCTCCGAACTGCGAGCTCTTCATGCGACTAAAGCCGATGCTGTTTGCTACACGATATATTCCGGCGGAGTCCGTGACGTACCTTAGGACCGCAGATATCGTCATTTGCATAGGTTTCCAAATACTTATTGGTAGTCAGTGTATTCGTTTAATAATGAAATATAGCAATTTAATGAATACCGGAAACTCGTTACTCTGGCACATATTAGTTCAGAAATATGATAATAATTGGATTAGTGTAAAAAAGAACTGAAAAATAAATGTGTAATATTTCGAAACATGTGGTTTATGTTAGATTCGAAATGATTGCTTACGTTTATTCACTTTTTTGTAAGAATTATGTATAAGTTTATATACGTATATTACAGTCTCGATCGCAATCCTTTTATGTTTTAAGCAGTTTAGTTTTTACTTCTACATGAGTTCCCTATTTTGAGATATTTTATATGCTGCTTCGCAATACAATAATTGGTTGCACTCTATTTTAGTACTAAGTAATTTTATGATGCTTAAATTCCATTGTCAAAGTGTGCAACCATAAACTTAAGTTGATCTATAACAGTTTATTAGGTAACACATTTTTTTTAAACTGAATATCGATAAAAGTACTATGTCCTAGGATTTGCTTTTAGCAACTTGTGGACAAAGTACCTTTATTTATAAGTTGCTTATAGCAAGTGTTAGTTAAAAGTAAGTTATTGTGATTGAATGCAACGGTATTATCTTTTATTATCTGCTCGTTAATTTTTAACAGTTGGGAAAAAAATGATTCTCATTAAATTTGAATCTGACTGTGAATGCATCTGTATAGTACTTATGTATCTTAAACTCTAACAATTTTCTCGTTCGCAGGCCGGAGATGTTCACTGCAGTGTAAAGAAATGTGATGATACTACATGTTCACACCCAGCCTCCGGACACTGCTGTTTAGAATGCATAAATTGCCAGTTTCTTGGGCGCATTTATGTGGATGGAACGAATTTCACAAATCCGATAAATTCTTGTGAAACGTGTCTTTGTTCGGTAATAATTCACTTAATAATCATAATTTTCTAAAATCTGCTTAGTCTTTCTTTGTGTAATAATTGCTTATTTTCAGTCTCCTACATCTTGTTCTAGCTAGTATCTAGCGCGCGTGTATTCAGATGAGGTGGAAAGGCGAGAGGGTGCGTTTCCTTATTCTCAATTTTCTTTGTATCCAGCTTCAAGCTTGGCTTCCTGGAAATTAGTTTTTGCCTCCGCCACCTTTAAAAAAAACACTCCTAAATTACTGAGCTTGTATATTTTTCATAGCGAAGAGGATTAATTTTTTACTTGGACGTATAATGGGACTTTTCTTACACATGTGTACAGTTTGCCTTACGCAGCAATAAATTTTGATCCTTCAACCACAAACATTCTATATCTCCTAAAATGTTTTAAAAAATCCCTTTCTCTAAAAAAAAAAAAAAAAAAAAAAAAATACTTTGAGCCCCTTCGTCTAATAGGGCATCCAATCTCTCATTATTTAACAATATTTGTATTTCAGGCAGGGCCGAATTTTTTAGAACTACCGTATTCAGTTGAATACTAGAGGAAATTTCTTGCCTCTTACTTTCAGTACCCTTATTAGTTTAAATTCTTATTACCTTCTTCCCCCTGTTTTCTCGTTTGCAATTTTTCTTGGTGATCGCCATCCGTAGTTGAAAATTTCTCTCTACCTTCTAAACGTTTATTTCCGTCAAACCTTTGTGTTCCTTCTCCTACAAACGCATAAAACTGTCCGTTCGACCTCTAACCTCTCTCTTTGATATGCTAATGTACGCATTCTTTCTAAAATTTTCCTGCTTCCAAACTTTATTGCGAGTTCAAACAAACCCTCGAAAGTATTCGGGTTTCTTAATTCGAAAAATCCTGGATTTGGGGTAATGATTTGGGCAGTACAATTGAAGTGACTTCTGCGTCGGACTTTTTTCTCAGACAATAAATTTACTAATTGTATTTTTTCGTAATGTAAATTCCGTTAGCTCTTCGACCTTAATCAAATCTTCTGAAAAATTCTGCTTCCAGTTTCGCCCTATCTTTCACCACTGGAAAAGCATTTACTAAAGCGATTTTAAATACTTTGAGTTTATAATTATCGCTGTCTGGTTCTCTTAATGAATAGTTACCGAAGCATTTTTACCAGCTCAATGCCTCTTCTTGAAGTGCTGCAGTTGCTATGGTAACCATTTGTATTTCTCCAGCTGCAAGAAGCAAACGATGCGAGTTCAGTTGTTCCAAAATTGTAATTAAAGAAATTCTGCCGTCAAAAGTCATTTCGGATTTCATGAACGCTCTCATCGTAACCAGAATGTATCCAAATCCCTCCATGGGACTTACTGATGCCGTAGGAGGCTGCGATGTTGAGGAGGGCCAGATTAAACTTTGAACTTTCTTACGACATGGTCATTCGGACGTCAATGCAGAGTTTAGTTTCCTTTGTAATCATCCAAAATATCCAAAGTCGTGGTAGATGTTAAGCGAACTATCGCAAAGTAACAACTGAAACTTGAAAAGAGTGTAAAAGACCCGTTACTTAAAACTAAATCAGAACAGAGGTAAACATTATGCCTACAACTCAGCCAATCACTTGTGGTGAGATAACTTAAAGTACAGTAAGTTCAAATGTAAAATTTAAATTCAAATAAACTAGTAGCCGAGGGCTACACAAATCGATTAAGACAAAAATCAATTAAGGTCTCAAAATTTAAGCGGTGTGATATCAACTCATCGGCAATTATAATCAAGGCCGAAGACTACAAATCTTATATTATCTAGCAAGCTAGTAGCGTGGCCTCAAGAGGCAGAATATACTTTGTCTTATAATCTAAAAACCTCACTTTAAATACAGGCGAACTAAATTCACATTCTGGCATGAAAACGGAACGAAAAATAGACAGTAAAGATCCAAAACATAAAATAACTGGTTAATTAATATAAAGGAACCTCGCAACAATAGTAATAACATTAAAAATATATTCAGTAATATCTATCATTTTGTGATAATCAAGTTCTTACTTTTTTGTTGGTTTGTAAAATTCAGACATGAGACCTTTCTGATTTTTCTGGAATTAGGTGTTTTGTTTCCCGAAGTAGGAAATAACACTTTTAATTGCTAAACATTTAAAATATTTTATTTCTTCATTATACTGTAAATTTCAGACATCTATCAAACATCGATTAGCATTTTCCATTCATTGTATGTCTGTTTTTGTGTTGTATATTTAATAATAACCATGAACTTATTTCTTTTAGAAAGGCGAAGTAGCCTGCGAAAAGCTGGCTTGTGTTCAGTGTCTTCATCCCATTTCAAATGAATCCACATGTTGTCCGTTGTGTGATGGATGCTCCTATGCAGGAAGAAATTATACTAATCAAGAACGTTTTATTTCTCCAGAATATCCCTGTGATGAATGTATTTGCAAGGTAACATCTTTCATCTAGCCTTATTATTATTATTTTAAAATGTAATTGAAAGAAAAGAATTGAAGTCTCTGTCATTCAAAAAAGTGTATTCTGAAAATGGAATTTAAATTTTTTTCTTATCTCTGATTTCGGAATCTTATCATTGTTTACATTGCAATGAGGCAACGTAAATCCTTGTTGCTTAACTAATTTAGATTTCAGATGTCTTTATATCAATTGTAATGAACCAGGTACGTTATTATTTAAATTAACCAGTTATTTATAATTTCGGTTTTCCCGTTTTCCCGTTTCCTCAGCAGAATACAAATGACATAGTTAGTATTTAAACTGAGATTTTTGGATTTTAAGACAGATTTTTAGTTTTTGCGAGCTCTGATAGTTGTAATTTTTCGGCTTTGCGTTATATCACTGCTGATACTTTGATATTAACGCTGTATTAGAATTACTGAGTGAGCTATACTCGAGAAGTAAGGCTTTAATTAACAATTCTTGACGACAACTACCGACACACTTATGGTATCGTAGTACAGGTCCTGAGATACTACTATTGGTTTCAAGGGTAACAGGGAATATGTTTAAGTAATATCAAATTGTGCAATTTTTGACTACTGCTCCACATTTAACTTAAATTTGACTGTTCTGTCTAGTTGCATCACCACGTGGCTGACATTGTTAGTACAAGAAATAGAGTTTATGTTCTGAACTCTGTTTAAATGAAAAGATTGCTTAAACCTTCTCAAGACTTTGCAGTTACTTCAGACATAGCGATAAATTGCTTTATATTTCTTGAGGTTATTTGACTAATTACCAGTTTCAGATTAAATAAAACCCCAAAAAGGAATATGATATTTCATATATGTTCTTCATAACCTTTTTTACAATCATCAAACTCAGAGGAATAATTCATAATTAAGTTTGTTTAAAGCCCCCTGAGTGACATGATCTCCTTTATCCAGCCATTTCATTTTTTTGTCACTTAGTATATATTAGATAATAATTTAAGATGTTTTGCTTCCTTACTTTCTTTAGCAATGTAAATATCATCTTGAGGAATGGAAATTTCGGAAAACAGAGACTAAACTAAGTATCATAAAAATTTAGCGAATAGAAGAGGTTTAAATACAAGACTTCATGAGCAAATCCAAGGGGCTGTGGGACTCAGATGGTTAATACTTAACAATGTTTTGCTTATATTGTAATTTTTGGAAAATAACTTAAGTGTAAGAAGTAATAATCACACAAGCTGAATACTATTTGAATTTCAGTGATATGATAAATTTAACAGAAGATTTTACAATGTAGAATTCTAAGCAGTAGGGTAATTTGTAATTAGAATTCAACGTTTAAAATGAGGTTTTTGCATTCTGGCCAGGATTCACATTTTAAGTTTTATTTTTTACTTTTTCCTGACTAATTTAGAGGTATGGTTAATCTTTTGCTCTTGTATATATTTTCTATTGCTACTGTAGCATTACATCTACTATTAACTTCAGTTATTTAATTATTATTTAACCCAGTTCTTATGATTATAGAAATTAAGGATATTTTTTCATATTTTTTTCCCGCTGTAATATGTTTTTATGTTATATCTATATGTTTAGTCTGTGTATACATTCCACAAAAATGTATTATGATTATACACGATTTTTCAGAAAATTTTCATGACTAAATAGCTTTTAACTATTGGTCAGAGTTTTCAATGGTTCAATTTTAAGCAATAAATCAATTTGTAGGGTTTTCCTTATTTTGCATAACAAATTTATTTTAAGTTGACACCTTTATCTGAACTCCTCAACTTTCCCTCACATTCTTTCTCCAAGATGTAAATTTAAAGTAAAGTGAAATGAAGTGCATATTTAAACAGGTGAATCTCTGAGTTGATTCAGAGCGTGTTTTCGCTAGCCAGCGCACGTTACGTTGTTGTTTCGCTGTTACGCTAGTAAGTCTCTTGGCTATATCCGGAATTATCATCACGCCTGTTAGGTTTCTGTGAGTCCACCTTTTAGGCGTAACTTAAATGCTATCTAGCACTACTTATTTTAGCTTTGACTCGAATTATATTCTACGTTTTTAGTATCACCGCAAGTTTGACTGTCCCTTTGTAACGCACGAAAACCGTGCCCTTCTGTTAACTGTTTTGAATTAATAAAGGGTTGTTTTCACTCTTCTTCTGCGTTGGCAGTTATTCACGCTTGTGCGAGAATTCGCCAGGTTCATTATAGGATTATAATTTAGTTTATGTGGAACAAGAAAGAACGACCCTAAAAATTAAAGAAAGCAATTAAAGACTAGGGATAATTCCAGGATCTTTACACATTTTATTAAAAGTATTAAAAATTAAATTTTTTATATAAAAAAAAATTTTATGTTGTCTGCAGAGAAAGCTCCATTAGTTACTCATTCTTTACTAGTTCACAGATTTTAGAAAAATGTCTTCCGCTTCTTACTAATCTTTGATCTGAATCAGATTGTAGAGTCATTAGGTATTTTTTGGAAGCCAGAGAGATGAAAAATTAGCAACCGCTTTCGCGGGGAATCGAACCACGGACCTCTGGAATACCGGACCAGCGTGCAGAACCACTACACCACGAAGGACGCTAGGAAAGTGGGAGAAATACCTTATAAGATCAGATCCATGAGTTCATTCGCCTTCTTAGCAACATGTCTTAACTTCCAACACGAAAAGATCTCTTCAGCAGATCTTCACTTATCAAGGGAACACAACTAAGCAGATGTTGCGCAGAAGCTTCATGGTTTTTGCATTTGGCATAAGTTGGGAAAGTTTTAGTACCACAGGAATATGAGGGTCCTTAAATGTCCTGAACTCAACCGAGCCAGAGCCGTTTGGTCTTTCCCTGTTAACCTTGAAACCAATAGTAGTAAGTGTGTCGGTAGTTGTCGCCAAGAATTGTTAATTAAAGCCTTTCTTCTCGAGTATAGCTCAAGGTAGGTCAAAGGTTCAGTATAAACCTGAGGCATGGAAGTACCTCCCTTGCTAGTCTATCAACTATATTATTATATTTTAGATTTACTTGAGATGGTATCGATTGTAGATGGAGAACAGAAGACTGGGACAAGGTCTTCAGTTTTTCAGTGACTTTAATTCCTCTCAGGTCTCGAATATTTCTCCAGTTATCTCGGTATTGTATTACACTTCGGCTAAGGATCCAGGTTTTCCCTGATAAATGTCGCTCTAAAACACAGTCCAGAGCCATATCAATAGCAATCAGTTCAAAGCTGAAAACGGAATAGGAATTGGTATTTCTATGCTTGGAGAGAGATTTCTTTCTGCCATGTTTAACAAAAGCCCCGCTACCAGTGTGTCAATTTTCATTCTTACAGCCCTGTGTATATATCAGAACTGTCTCAACAAGTATTCTATTAATCATTTCCAGAGCAGTCTATCTTAAGTATTCAGGATGTTGAGAGGACTTATTAGTAAAAGTCAATTACTCTGTAGGAAAAAAATACACCAGATAATGAGTCCGTAGATGATGCGATATGTTTTAAAGAATTGAATTCAACACTAAGACTGCAAAACATCCAATTTCTTGGCATGACTGAAGGGACTACTTCTGAAATTTTTGATTATTTTGCCAACCATTCAGAAAGATTGCGCTATGATGTCCATCACGAAAACTGAAGAGTTTGGCTTATGTATATAGTAAAATTAGGGATACTTCTCAGCCGGAAGGGTTGCAAATCAGGCTCATAGAGAACGATTTCAGCTGGAGTAGTGTTGCGAAGTCCTGTAATAAGGCATGCTGCACTCAGCTGTACCCTTTCCAGTTTTTTAAGATCTATATCCGAGGCGACACGATAGATTTGAAAACCATATTCAAAAATCGGTCTTATAAGGAAAATATAAATTGTCCTTAGGGTCTTTACGTCAGCGCACCAATTGCAGGCAGAAATAAATTTCAAAATTTTCAGTCTCTTTCTGGCCCTATATACTAGTAGATCGATGTGTTTATTACAGGTGATTTCAGAGTCAAGGACAAAATCAAGATATTTGGGATTCCTCTAACGCTGTAAGAGGTGAAAAATTTTCGAAAAATTAGAGAAATTTTCGGACTGTAACTATAAAGCTGTTTGTTTGTTGTAAAGAATCCAGTTGTAGAGTTAAGAGAATTAAAGATACATTTGTCAGCAAAGTCATGAATTTCCGAAATTGAATTATTTTTACTGGTTAGAAAAAGGTTTTGTAATATACAAACTCGGTCCTGAAAATATTTGTCAAATGTTTAAATTAATTCACTTTCGCTCTTTAAAAAGGATATTTGATTAATTATAGTAGCAGTGAGGCTAAGCAGAAAAAATTCGGATTTTATGGCTCCTATTGAGGGGAACTTTAAACCCATGCTTCCATATAAATTATCTAATAATATCGTAGAGTCTGACGTTTTTGGCAAGCATACACTAAGTCAAGACTCTTGCAGAACTAAACGAATTCCTGCTATGTTTTGTAAGAAAATAGAGAACGTAAGAAAGGTGTAAAAGAGCCCATTATTAAGAACTCAATTAGTTGAACGGAAGACACCTCTTATGCTTACACACCCAGTCTTACTTTTGAATTACGAGGTAATTCAAGAGTAACAAATTCAAATTAAACTTAGTTAAATCTTAAGTTAGCCCAAACGCTACATAGAAATGATTAGAGCTCAAGTTGGCTCAAACCTGTACCAACGTGACAAGTATTATTAGCAAGAATAAAACAACGCCCAAGACAGACTGCTATCATAAACTTTCCACTGGTAACGTGGCCTTCAGCAGGCAGAACACGCTCTGTTTAAGCAATCTAAAACTTTCCTTTAAAAACTATCTCTTTCTACCTCATTTGATTGCACGCGAACTAAAATTTACATTCTGATAGGAAAACGGACAGCGAGAATGACAGTAAGGAAACTGTACTTAAAGTAGCTCGTTGGATTAAATAAATAAACAACTTATAAAGTAAAAGGCATATTTTAGAAATTAGCATTCGAAAATCTGCATGAGTAGTTCTTTCTTATTGTTTTTCATATATTCTGCTGAAATTTTAGCCGAACTTAATTGGGGTAATTTTCATCAGTATAAAGATGAAATATTCTAATTCGAAACCGAAAAGCATGTTCCCTTTTGAGACTGTTTTACCACAGGGACCGTATCAAAATTTTAATTTCTTTCATTTGTTCAAAGAATCGTCACGTGAAAATACTTTCATATTATAATAACTAAGCTTTACACTTCCATTTTTTAAATTTTTGGTTATGAAACTACGATAATTCTTACTAGAGACATATAGTCATTTTTGCTTACTGATTTACTATTATATGTACACTGCTCAAAAAAAAAAAAAAAAAAAAAAAAAAAAAAAAAAATGGGACAGTGCTATAACTCCCGTTCTACTGGGGCGATTCACGAAATTCAAATTGCGTTCTTCATGTCTCGAAAGCGCGACTTAGGATATATATTAGATTTATATATAGCACTATTCTAACATAGGTATTTGACACAAAATCGGACTTTTTCTGAAATAACATACCAATTGTTTTTACATATTTCGATTCTACGACTCAAATTACGCCTAAATATGAATTTTGTAAAATTTGGAGCGAAATTTACGGAGAAATTCACAAATTTATGTTGGCACTTTGTTGTCAGTTTGCGCCAAGAAAACTTCACTTGGCGAACTTCTTAATATATGGCAACCTAGTTTCCTTTCCCGTGAGAGGAAAAAAGTCACCATCGTTCCTTTTTTCAAAGAATATTCTTTATATTATATTTTAATTATAACTTATTATTTTAAGTAATTTCTTCTTTTCGAATTTTCATTTAATTGTTTAAGTTGCACGTTTTTTTTTTTTTTTTTTTTTTTTTTTTTTTTTTCGAATAACTGTTTTAAAAATTTCTATTTACCTATTCGAACTGCGTAAATAAAGGTGCAACGTTTATTTATTTTTTTTTTCAAATAGTTTCTTTACATATATTTTTTCGTCATAGTTATTATTTTAGATAATTTTTAAATTTTTATACTTTTATTTTAATTGTTTGTGTTGCATTGTCTCTTCAGATAATTGTTTTAAAATTTTCTATTTATTCCTTCGAACTGAGCATTTTAAATATATTTATTAATATCAATCTTCCAGAATTTGATTTTACTTATTGGAACTGCGTTTCTTTCGGAAGAATACTTTGTAACCCAGACTACGATGAGTTTGAAAACTACATACTGTATTGAAAGAGAAAATACAGTAAAGCACAGTTTTACACGCCTTTTAATGTTCCTTTCAGAAAAGATATATATAAATAAGAAAGATGTATAACCGACATTTTAACTTAGGATGACTTGCATACACTGCTTTAAACAGTTTTATCATTGTGCCCATTGTTTTACACAATTTTATCCTACATTTGGTTTCTTAAAATGTTATTCATATTTTAGTCAAATATCTTATTTTTGAAATCGCAAGAATCAAATATCATAACATTGAAAAGTTTTAAATTTAAAAAAAAATACAAATAGTAAATTTTACGAAAAAAATTATTTTTCTTCTCTTTTTCTTTAAGCATTCTGAAAGTATATTAAAAAGTATCCAACTTTTCGAAACATTTTGGTATTTCTGACAATCATTTTAAATAAAATTATCGCCTTCCATTTCGTAAAGGCCCACAAACGGCCGAGCGGTAAAGACGCTGATCACTGGTAGTTCGGTCCGAGGTTCGAATCCCGCGAACGGGCTGGTTGCATGGGTGTTTTCGTGGTTTTCCCCATGTGTAACGTGTATACGAGCCAGTTTTCCTTAGAAAGTCCTCCACGAAGGCATCTCTCCCTTTAGGCAGATAGCACTCGTGTGCTTTGCCATAATTAAATAATCCAATTCAATCCTTAATTAAATATAATTGATTTGTAACTTCTACTAGAACTGACGTTAAGAATTGAAGTGAAAATAAATAATATTGTGTGCAATCTTGACTTATATAAAATTAAAAATATTTGCACAGAAAAATATTTGCATTCAGACAGAAAGTTTTTTTAAATATTGGCAATTACTTTATAAGAAGGCTTTATTAATAACCGTAATAATTTACTTATTATATTACTGATGATTAGGAATCATTTTCTTGCAATTACATTCTAAATTAGAATTTTAAGAATTATTAGAATTTAAATTTGAATAATGACAATACGCCACGCACAAAAATACATTTTAGGATAAAAAATGAGTTGATTTTTTATGTTTTAAAACTTCTTGAATTCTTTAATAAAACATCGTATCCTCGTTGTTAATTGAATTCCAGAATGTTGGGGTGTCGTTTATATAATTATTCTTACTTGTCTACAGAATCCTGCTGACTTATCCAGTGATTAAGTAGCTGCCAAATCATTTCTACATAACCATTGACTTCCATTAATTCAGTCTCAAGAGGGTTGTATATTTATATCATAATTTGACTTTTATAAAATGTTTATTCTAATCTATGTTTCTATAAAAATATACTGTGCTTTAAAAAATATGGATGATATACCAGCCGCTCTTTCAGCCACTTCAAAAGCATCAGTTTGTTTAGAAATAAATTGTGCAGTTAATGTCATAAAATTCAAAATAAACATCAAACGAAAATTCTCAGTTTAGACAATTCGATTTAAACGAAGTAAAGTAGCAGACGATGAAACGTCAAAGGTAAAAATTTACTCTTACAAAAATTTACTCTTATTACAAAAAAAAAAAAAAAAAAAAATAGATAGAGAAAATTAAAAAAAATATTAAAAAATTTATTTAAAAAATAGCTTTTCATATAGTATTAATAAATATTTATTACGCATCATTGATTGAAAAAATGTCATATAATTAATTCTTCGTAAAATTTTACTTGAAATTTAAGGTTAAAAATAGCTGTGCAATACAGGTAACACAAAAATCCATAGACCACATTTGGCGTTATTATCGCTCAAAAAAAAGATGCCAAAATTTCAAAACGCGAAAATATGTAAATTTGTGTATATCTTAGAAAATTTTGAATAACAAAGTCTAACTTTTTGCAGATATGCTTAAAAATATTACTACTTTAAGATGATGGTAAAAATTTTATAGGTTATAATTCAAAATTTTTTCGAAAAATTTATAAAATTATTTAAAAATAGAAATTTAAAAAATAAAACACAAAAATGGGGTAAATTTTATTTGGAAATGAACCTAAATTTCGAAATGTGAGAGAAAAAATCAAAAAAGTTTAATAAGAAAAGAGATATAAATAAATTTTGCCAATTCAATTAACATTGAGGAGCTAAAATTTTGAGAGCTAATATTTCAAAAACTACTCGTACGATTTTTACGAACCTGGTATTCTGGCATAATTTCAGTCGTAGAATCGAAATATGTAAAAAAATTGGTATGTTATTTCAGAAAAAGTCCGATTTTGTGTCAAAATACCTATGTTAGAATAGTGCTATATATAAATCTAATATATATCCTAAGTCGCGCTTTCGAGACATGAAGAACGCAATTTGAATTTCGTGAATCGCCCCAGTAGAACGGGAGGATATAGCACTGTCCCATTTTTTTTTTTTTTTTTTTTTTTTTTGAGCAGTGTACATTTAGCTTTAACAGCATTATTTGTAGCAATGAAAGATGCAGTTAAAAAAAGAGTAGCTATATAAAACTATGATTTTAAGCTATCTAAAGTTTTTAGCTTTTATGTCATTATGGGTTTTTGATACTTATATGTTTGTTTTATTTTCGTAGAATGGAACAGTTACATGCCATAAACTAGCCTGTAGTCTTCCTGCCTGTCCAAATCCGATCACTATGAGTGGAGTGTGCTGTCCCTTGTGTCCAGGTTCTATTTCCCTCTATTATTATTGTTATCGACTTTGTTGTAATATTTTAAAATTTTCAAAGATCTTAAGCATCTAGTGAATTAGTGGCTCATGTGCTACTTCTCCTATTTATTTGTTTCATGTCTTTGAAGATATTTAGATTCTTAAAGCGGCCACCAAGCTTAGTCGTCAACGTTGGCAGATTTAATCACTCGGTTTGCAACACGCAAGCTTCAAATGTTGCCAAATGCTGATGTAGTGACCTCTTTAACAAAGAAATACCGATATTTATTATCTAGAGTGGCACCCATTCAGCTTATAGAACTCCATTTTTTTCTTAATAAATTAATATTTTAAATGTATGTTCCTCAGAGGAGTTATGAGATAGAAAATTTAACAAAATTATAGAGTACAGCTGACTAAATTTTAAAAAAATGTCTTAATTCCATCATTAGCTAGACGACTGAAATTAGACTGTTTCTCATGCTATGGAAAAGCACATTGCGTTTCTTAATCTTTTGCAATGAGAAATTTTATTATAACTGAACGATATTTGCTATGGAAAGAAATTATGACTGTCTTCGCCGTAAAAACTAATACATAAAAAAACTAAACAAATCTTTCAAAACATGCAACAGTATTAATGATCTACTGACAGTTACTAATGTGAAATAGACGGTGTTTGAAGAAATTTTAAAGAAAACATGATATTCCGATGATGTAGGGGGAAACATATGTTGCTCATTTATATAGAATTCAACCTTTATTAAGGCACTCTTGAAATTTGACTCAAAATTTTAGTTCATTTTGATATAAGAAAAGGTTAAAAAAGACAAAAAGAAAAGGATTAAATAGTTATAAAAGAGGCATTTTCAAACTTTTTTTTTACACCCTAAAAATAAAAAAATATTAAATGACACCCAAAATGATATGAAACTAACATATATTTTGCAAATGAATCAAAGCGGGAAGCATTTTCCGTTCTGAAAAATACAAAAATGACTCTAAAAAAGTGAAAATAATACACATTTTGTAAAAGAATCAGAGAGGGAAACATTTCCCTTTCTAAAATATAGCAAAAAAATGAAAATACATAAAATTAAATCAAATAAAAAAAGCTTTCAAATCATACATATATTGTCCACCCACCATACCTTTATAGTTGCATATGTAATTTTCTTTATTAGTTTTCTTGATTGCGCCGCCCAGACGCGAAAGTGGTAATGATTCCGATTACCGTACCGATAGGCTCGGGCTCGAATCCCGCAGAAGGTAAAAGTTTGGGCGACACCAGCGATGTACCATGGGTCAACTAGTAGTGTCTTCCTATACCAACTCTTAAAAACAAAAAGAAAAAAGTGCAAGCTTTATAATAATTTACAGAGAAAGTTTGAAGAAATGGGCAATTGAAGCTTTCCAAATGATCTAGAACAGCGGTTCTCAACCTTTTGACTAACGCGTACCATCTAAACAAAGACTGAAAACCTTTAGTTCCACCACTACAAAGTACTACTACCACCACTATTCTTGAACAAAGCTCAGATTGCATAAACTTACGAGTGTTAGAGAAAAAAACTCAATCAGGATGCTGGGGTTTTAAATTTTGAATTCAATAGTTAAAAATACTTTGCTTCTTTGCGTACCACTGGTTGAGAACCCCTGATCTAGAGTTTACCTATTATTGGTACATCGTTTTATCCCACCGTGCGCCCCACATCCAGTATTTATTAAAAGTAATGCTTTAGGAAGTCTGAAAAAGCGACTATTTCTTAGTGTTCCGGCCATGGATAGGGAATGATGTTATTGAAACTGATATTCCAGATATCTGCACTCATGCATGACACCTAGGGACATCCTCTGACTTGATTACGCACAATTTCAATGTTGTTGTAAAGAATCGTACTTTTCCTGTTTCTAAAATAATTTTGAATAATTAGAAATAAATTTTGTGGGCACTTTTGTGAGAATACAGAGATTGTAAAACTGTTGATGACCATAAAAAATGAAAAGCTGATTTTAAGTCAAAATATATTGTTGCAGAATGAATTTGGCTGATTTTTTACAATGTTGTAGAAAATAATGATATTCTAGATTCGTATGTAATATATCATGATTTTCTTTTATTTTGAACACACACAATCTCCCCGTGCACTATAGACGTACAACACGGGGATTACAAAAGTAAGATAACTAAAATATTAAATAACATGCATAAACCAAAGCAAACAAAAACAGAGAACAATAGTCTGGACTTCACGAAAGCAGATAATTTCACTAGCCAAGTCATGCCGAACATTTTCAAATCGTTCTGCAAGCATAATCTAGGGCCATCGAAGGTAGGGCATGAAAAAAATCAAATTCTCCACATTTTGAGGTACTTTTTTTTAACATTCGCATAAATTTTTTTATCTTAGATTGAAACGAAACCTGTAGCTTGCAAATTAACCTTAAAATCAGATAGAGACAGATACTTTAAAATTAATAGAGAGGAAAGACTCAATTAAGTCTATGATAAATAGAAGAGAAGAACTTTTTGGTGCCATCAATATTACAAGATGAAATATATTACTCATTCCACTTAGCTAAAAGCTTCTTATAAAGAAAGAACTTCCAATAGCTCTTTGGAATGCTAATATTGAGATCTATGGGTAAATTTAAGGCATCTTTAGCTAAGCAATCAGCTGTTTTATTTCCATAGAATCCTTGATGAGCCCGCACGTAAGCAAATCGGATATCAGTTCCTCTATTTCTAAACGAACTGACAGTTAATAGAGTTAATTACTAATTTGCCGCTGCTGATAATACTCTTCAAGAGGTGAAGAGAAGAAAAAGAAAGAGAACATATAAAGTACCTTGAGGATGCTGTCCTATTATCCTTGTTCATTTGACGAAAAGATAAATACACAGAAGTTCTACTTGAAATACTGTGCATTTATTCCGTATACGATGTTTAAAATAACCATCCTCAGATTGGTCTTCAAAAAGAACAAAAGCAAGGTTAACCTTATTAAGGGAAAGGGGACATTTCCATTTATGCAGTCTTTCAAAGTATCAGTTAACAATGCCTCGAAAATATTTTTCTTATATTCAGTTTCGAAATCAGTAGGCGAAACTCCTGCAAGAACAAAAGTAGCCTTATAACTTAAGGTTCTATAGCAACTAATAATACGAAGGAGACCTCTCCGTTGAATCTTTCTCAGATTTCTTTTGCTAACCTTCTTTGCAAGAACCTGTCTCCAAGCACGACAGCCATATGAAATGAAAGGTACAGTATATTGCTTATACATCAGCTTCTTGATATCATCATAGCTTACTCCAAAAGTATTTTTGGCAATTCAGTGAAAACCATTAATAATTTTTTCACATTTGATCGAAAGGAATTCAATGTGCATTTTCTATGTTAATTTTTGGTTAAGTATGACACTAAGATACTTATCATATTTTACAAATTTCAACGGAGAATCATCGAGTATCAAAGAAGCAATATTTTGTTCATGAAAATTTCTGGAAAACAATCATAGCTTTACTTTTTGAAGGATTGAAAGTGAATTTATAAGAAATTTCCCAGTTGGAGACAAAATACAGCACTTCTTGTGCTCTCGAAAGAATATTATTAATAACCTTTCCTTGGAAAATTAAAAGTAAGTCGCCTGCAAATGCAATTTTTAAACATCTGTCGAGCTGACTTAAAAGGTTATTTATTTTCGTGTTCCAAAGAGTAGATCCGAACACAGAGCCTTGAGGACAGAATTTTTCCAGAGAATAAACCTTAGCTTCGGTCCCAAGCTGAGGCTGATCTTAAATTTAAAAAGTTTAGTTACCTCCCGCTTAAAAAGCTTTTAAGCAGATTATAGATATTATATGGTATACCAGCATTTTAAAAATTTTTTAAATAGATGGCCACGAATCATTATCAAATGCACCTTTGAAATCCAGAAAAGTAAGAAATGTTGTAAACTTCACTTTCTTTCCATACTGCTATCTATTAATAAGGCGAATAAGGGCATCTTCAGCAGACTTCCAAAGAGTAAACCCGAACTGAGAATCATTATAAAATCATTTCTGTCCCAAATACCAATTTATTCTATTAATAAAGAGAATTTCAAAAATTTTCCCAGAGTAGTAAAAGAGTAATGCATTGTAAGATATGCACACCTCTGTCGAACATGTGCTTAATTAGAAGAACTTCCTATTTGTCCAGAGACTAATTGTCAGTTAGAACTTTGAGAAAAGGTGGTGCGGAAATCCTCTGGTGAGGTTTCCGGACACAAGGGATGTCGTAAATTACCCCATTCCAAGCTATTTCCGACAAGACGTTTAATAAAACGAAAGAGAGGGCTTTTTGTGAGAGCTTTTTATGCAGTGAAAGACTTGGAAGAAGACGCAACCAGCGTCGTGGCTGCATCCAGCGGCCATTGTTTGTATTACGGCTGTAATGGTTAATTATTTTATTTATTAGTAATCAATAAATTCTTATTAAGTTTTTAAAATAAGTATTTAAAAGACAACTGTTCTTTCTTTTCACCACTTACAGCATCTAATATTATCAAAGTATGGAGTTCTTGTATCTAAATTTTTAGGGATAAAAACAACCCGAGTTCTCTCCCATTGTGATGGAGATACTCCTCATTGAAAATAAAGGTTGAAACATCTATGCAAAAAAAGTGCTTTTCACCGCATCAAAGTGCTGTATTATTTCATTGGAAAGTGAGTCTAGCCCAGGTGATTTGTTCTTCTTGAGATTTTTAATAATACTATTAACTTCTGAAGCAGAGCACTAACAGTCCATAACTGAAATATAAAGCCCCTCTGACTCAGTACGCATATATCATGATATTAATATTAAATTCTCATCTTATAATAGTCCCTAAAATAATGTTTCTTAATAAATGGAAGAATTCAATAGTCTCGTATATTATGTTTAACTTTAAAACTGAAAAATTTAAGTCCCAGGAGATATAATAAGAAAAATTCAAATATAGCGATGACTGTATTATAAGAATAGAAGTAGATGATGACGAAAAAAACATTTTCTTAAAAAACATCACGGAGGACTTTCTGATACTGCAAGCAAGAAAATTAATAATTGCGGTTCCATATTCAACTACAAAGGTATGGTGAATGTAAAATATATATATATATATATGTGTGTGTGTGTGTGTGTGTGTGTGTGTGTGTGTGTGTGTGTGTGTGTGTGTGTGTGTGATTTGGGAGCTTTTTAATTACATTTAATTTTATCCATGTTCATTTTTTGATATTTTTCTGAACCGTTCTGGTTCTTTTACAAAATATGTATTATTTTCATGTTATTTTAGTGTCATTTGATATTTTTTTTATTTTTAGGGTGTATAAGAAATGTTTAAAAATTGCTCTGTTTTAAAACTATTTTAATTCTTTTTTTATCTTTTTTATATGAAAACAAAATAAAATTTGGTGTCAAATTTTTAGAGTGCCTTAATAGGCGTTGTAATGTTTATAATGAGCAGCATATGTTTCCCACTACGGGGAACATGAGAAATTTGTCAATTTAAATCAACATTATGAAGGATTTGTAGTATGTTCTATAATATGAGACATATGCCGCTAAGACTGAATTTAATATTTTGTTTTCTAATACCGTTGTATTAAAAACTATTGTAGAATTGTGTTTTAGTTTACAAATAAAATTTTTCCTTGGTACTATTGGCACTAGAAACGTTTTTTCCCCTTATTTTAGGTTGCGTTGTCTCTGGTATCACGTTTTTTGAAAATGAAGAATTTACTCATCCGGAGAATGTTTGCGAAAAATGTATTTGTAAGGTAAAAGAGATTTGAAATTATTGTCATTTAAAAGGTACCTAAAATTGAAGCACCAGCTCTGAGCTAGTTTTGAGATTTAATTTAAAGAAAATTATTATTTTTAGAGCTATAAGTAAATTCTATGGGTACTTTATTTATAAAGTTAAGCAAATCTTCTCAGATTTGATGTAAGGTTAAATAAAAGGTGAAATTACAATAATAAGCCTATTGATACCTTCGTTATCAATTTTAGATATTGTAATTGATATAAGCAGTTACAATATATAAAACTGATAATGTGTTTTGCCGATTGCAACAAAGGAATATGGTTGTGAAAATCATTTATATGGGAATTTCGCATTTACGGAGAAAAATTAAATAGTCAACTAATCACTAATACCACCTTAAATTATCTCTAAGATATTAGCAGCTGCATATATGGTTTTTAAGATCATTGGCCTTGTTCCTTTGATCCTGAAGCTGAAAAAAATGTATCTCGCTCCAAAAAGTTTAATAAAATGAAAATCCATTAGAATAATTTTATTTCCAAAGCAATAAAGATTAGAACTTTAAATAAACATTCTGCGACCGTAAATGTTAGAATTTAAATAATTACATTTTTTATATACAATATGCTACTTCTTTCCCACAAGGTTATGTTTCTGCAAGTGCTGCTGAAATTGAAATAAAATCTTGCTTTTTTTAAGCAAACGTTTCTTTCATTTAAGTGAAAAAATAAAATGCATTCATATATTTTAATTTTCTAGAACTTGGGGGGGGGAGTAGATTTTAAATTGCGTGCATTAAAAATGTTATTTAAAAAAGTTGATGATTTATTTATGAGCTCAAATTCGCATTGTACAAAATCTAAGTGTATCTCATTACATAAAAAATACATTATAACTAAACATGACAAATAATGCAAGGCTATTTTTCTTGGTAAAATTGTTTCCTTGAAAGAAAATGGTGTGGTGTATTTAATTATGGCAAAGCACACAAGAAAATAGGTTCTCCTAAGAGAGGATGCCTTTCGGGAGGACTTTCTAAGGAAACTGCTGTTACCGTCACACATGGGGAAAACCACGAAAACAGCCATGCAGCCAGCCCGTTCGCGGGATTCGAGCCTCGGACCGAACTACCAGTGTTCAGCGACTTTACCGCTCGGCCGCTGGTGGGCCCCTTGAAAGAAAATGAATCGAGTTTATCTTACTCAATGATTTTATTCATAATAAATAGTAAGCCCACGTACCCGGGCGGCGGAAGTAACGTCACAGAAAATGGGTAGGTCCGCTACCATCTTGGATCGCATGACAACCGAATGTGACGCAGTTGGGTTTGAATGACGTCATGTTTTTCAAAGTTTCGTTTTTATTTTATGGCAACAACAATATTTTTCAAAGTTTTTATTTTTGTGGCAATCATGATTTTTTTATTCGCTTTGTGACAACGACCTCTTGAACCATGTGTTTTGGAACTATGTATTTTCATTCGCTTTAATGCGTTAATGCATTATTAATTTTAGTTATTTAATCTTTTTAACTATTAATCATTATTTTTAATTGCTTTTAATATATTTGATTTAATATAGTATTTTTAATGTATAAATTTTACGCATTTGCTCGAGATTTATAAAGCTGGTATCGAAACTGCGCAAGGATTGCGCAAGTTTTCAGCCTGTTCCAACGTGCCCAAGCCACTTCTTAATTTTGTGCTTCCGCGAAGGTGACTGAATACAATCTCTAAGACCAATTCGCTTCTCGCTAATAATATCCTTCTTATTTCAACTAATCAGCATGCTTGTCTCTTGGAGTGTATATAGATTGATTTTGGCTTTCTAAATCATTATTTTATTCTTTGCTGTTTTAAATGTAAGATTTTCTCATATTTTAAAATTATTTTTTTTTTTTAAATTTTACAAGCATATTACATATTTTTTTCTTTTTTCTTCTCTTTATTATTAAATTTAATTCATTAATTTTTCATTCCATATATTTTGCTTTTGCAGATGTAAGTTTACTTTTAATGTTCGCAAATTAATGTTTCCACACTTTTATTTCTGCAAATGCAAACGTAACGTGTTTCACTGCGGCTGGTCCACTAAATAAATCACACGACACATGAACTGTATTTCCTTCACTTTCATTTAATTACACTAATTCTAAATGTGAAATAAGCGATGCGAAGCAAGTGATACAAAATAAGTGCACCATTCTACATGACTGATACAAACACAGTATTTTATCAACCACTAGTCTTGTTGCCACATGCAAAAAGTAAACAACGATAAATCACAGATCACTCATTTAACCTCCAGTGGGAACGGACTGATGATTCAGCCATCAAATAAGTAAATTAAGTAAACACATGTATTTGTTCTTCTGGGCTATCTTTCCATAATATTTTTTGAAACTCTCGATATTTTTCATGAACTTTTATTTGTCTATGAATCATTCGAATATTAGCGGTTACTGCAATGTTATAAAGTCTAAATCTTAGTAAAATTAGCGAAATTACAAATTAATTTTTCTTGTGTTTTGGGGGGGGGCTCTCATTAAAACCCTTTGTTGCATCATGTCCCGTCTAGTAGACAAAAGTTTTAATTCTTTTACTCTTCTGTAAATGCCTTAACAGATTCCATTCTGGTTTATTCTCTATAATCAGAGAACTTAACTGTCGTCATAAGTGCGTATAGCATCACTAAGTAAGCTGCTATTAATAAAATGGCTGCTACTTCTGTTTACTCAAGGTTAGTAGGATTTCTCATAGTAAGCATTCTAAAATATTGATTACGATTCTATACTGTCCTTTTTTATTCATAATTAGTATTAAACATATTATTTAATCCCGTTTAAACAATTGTTGAGAGCTAATTTATTGAAATAAGGGGGCATTTTTATTTTGTCCACTACAGTAGACTCATGAATATCGCTAATTTTACTCTGTCTACGTATGGACATCATGAACTAAATTTAACGATTTTTATGAACTTAACGATTATGGCAAGAGGAAATTTGCAAAAATTCTATAAGTTTCAAACAGAGGGCAACAATTTATTTTAAATAATTAATTTTGATTTAAGCATGCTATTAATAGATAATAAAACAAAGTTATATCGATTTTAGTTCATATTTTATTAGAAATCTGAAACGGAAAAACTTTTGACTGAAGATGAAATTGAGAAGATTATGAATGAGGCTTTTCCTATTAGCAGCGGTGATGAGGAAGAAGAATACATGCCGACATCCCTTCATGATGAGGAGCCAAAAAATGAAGAAATAGAAATATCACTTAAAACTACTCAAAATAAGAAATCTTTGCAGGAGAAAAAGAAAATTCCTTGGGAATGGTTATAAGGATCTTCTACGACACTTTACCGAAAAAAGTGAATTGAAACCGAAAGGGACTTCTTATCAAGCCAAAACACCACTGGAAATGTTTAAGACAGTGTTTGGCAAGGAATTTTTAGAATATTTGACATTTGAATCCAATAGATACAGGTTACAAAATCGTAGCAAAATGAATTCAAACACAGTTGACGAAATGGAAGTATTTTGAGGGATCGGTATGTATATGTCAGTTGTAGATTTACCATTTAGAAGATGGTAATGGTCACCGCAAACAAAGCAGGAAATGATTTCAAATGCAATGACCGTAAATCTTTGGAAAGAGATTTGTGTACGTATTTTGCATGTATATGCATGCTGTCCACTGTAGGTAAAATATGTAAATAGAAAGTATAAAACATACATTTGTGCTAGACATGATTTAGTGAAACCTTTGAATTAAAGTAAGGTATGTAAAAGAAATATGTGAGATGTGTTGTACATTATTTCAGAAAGTCAGTATAGTCATTGATAAATAGTACAATACATTAGAAGAGAAAGTTCTGAGTATCTCCTATTAATTATTTGTAGCATAAATTGTAAGAAATGTAATATTCCAATTAAACTATATAGAATGAACATTCTGCGCATTGATTTAAGTTGATATTAAGTTACAGAAAATATTATACATGAAGGCCCGCAAAGTGAAATAATATGCATGTAAATTCCA